TCAGGATCGGCGGGGCTGCGCGGCACGTCCTGCAGGCGTGGGTGCAGGCACGGGCACGGAGTCGGGCCAAGATGATGAAGTTTCGGTTCCGGCGGCAGGGCGCCGACCCGCAGCGCGAGAAGCTCAAGCAGGAGCTCTTCGCTTTCCACAAGGTGCCAGGCTAGGCCGCAGCAGGACGCGGGACCGGTGGGAGGCCCGCGGCGCCCCGGCGCCTCGCTAAGTTTCCGGCTGCTTCCCTTGCTGCTCTCCGGGAGCCTGCGTCGCCGCCTCCTCAGTAGCCCCCATCCCACTCTCGCTCTCCCTTTCGCTTTAGTGTCTTTCCTACGATGTTCGTCTTCGGGCTTTTCATTCTCTGGGACCCTCCCTCTTTAGCTGTTGGGACGTCCAGGACCCGGGGTTGTACTTATTTCTCACCCTGCCGGGACTGGACGGAGAGTGGGGCTGGGGAATCCCTTCCAAGTCTGCTGCCCTGCCCACCCTCTGAGTCCAGGGGAAATGCGATGCCTAGTTGTATTTTAAGTCTCGGGCCTTAGTTTCTCTTGCTTTTACCAGCCTGTTGTGGCTCTGTACCCGGACGTTTGTGGACCTGACACTGAGCTAAGGAGAACGTGGAGTGAAGGGCTGGCTGGCCCCTTCTTTTGGTGAGGCATCCAACCTTGCACTGAGGTGTGGTAGCATAAGGTACCTGGCTTGCTCTTTGTGAACTCCTGGGCCTGTGGGTTCTGGTCTTAGCTTTACTCCAAAGCTTCTTACTACTCTTGGAGATTAATTACTATCCTCCCTTTATAAGGGAGAAGATTGAGGTTCAGAGAGATCACAGAGAGGGCACAGACACTTTATCTGGGCTTCCTCCTCCCCCAGTCAGTCATATTTGACTGAAGTCTTTTGGGATGTGGATTTTTGTAGGAGCTGCTGTGGCCCTGCGCTGGTGCCAGGTTCCCTGGGCCAGCGTGAGGAAGCACTTGTCCAGGAGGAACCTCTAGGGTGTTTGGACTTAGAATGGCTGAAGCACTGGTTCTCTTTCCCAGAGTGAACATGAATTTCCAGTAAGTTCCCTGCTGATGGCAGTGGTAGGTGGCTGTAAGGACCCTCAGTCTTGCCAGGGATACTGGAATGACCTTGTGGGGTCCATTATGGAGGCTGTTACTTGGGGGAGCTCCTAGAAGCCTCCTTTCCTGTGCTGGAGTGGCTATCAAAGGTGAGCCTTTTGAGATGAGAGAAGACTCAGGTTCTCAGCCAGTGAGGTAGAGTGTGAGAACCTGGATGGGGTGTTGGCCTCTCTAGCTAGTCATTGGTTGGCAGATGAGAGCTCTGAGGAGGAGGAGGCCTCTCACTTTGAGGGGGCAGCAGTGGTAAGAGAGAGGTGCTGTAGGGGAAGGATCTGGGTCACAAACTGGGTAGAGGGCCTACCGAGTGGGCTAAGTTGGAGAGTGGGTCAGGGATGAGCATGGACTTTGGACTCTTGACAGTCTTGAGTTCGTATTCCAGCTCTCTTCACAAGTTGTTTGTGAGACAAGTACTGAGCCGCTATTGTGTGTCGTCTTTTAGCTGCTAGAGACAGTAGTGTTCAACAGGGACAGATATTTCAGCTCTTGGGAGGCTCATGTTCTGGTATGGAAGCAGTCAACAGGCAAAACAAAAATAAAATGGGCAATAGTTTGACCAGTGACCAGTGCTATGGATAAAAAAAGCAGGGTGGAGTTGTGAAGAGTATGGACTGGGGTGGCTTAGAAGGCCTCTCTAAATAGTTGGGTTGAAGCCTGCATGGTAGGAAGAGCCTGCTTTGAGAATCATTGAGGGGAATGTAACCCAGACAGGGCAGCAAGTAGGCAGGCCCTGGGAGCTGCCACAGAGTCTTGGAGACTGGAGCCCAGCTAGCAAGGGAAGAATGGAGCAGATGGGGTCTAGGGGACAGGAACAAGATAGTAAGGACTGTGGCTTTGAGTCTGAGTGCAGTGGAGTCCTAGGAGGATCCTAGCAGAGAAGGGACTGGATCTCATTTAGATTTTCATAGACTGTCTTCTGTGCAGAACAGATTGGGGGCAAGCAATAGAGAAGGTATAGTGACAGCACTTTGGATAGTGAGTTGGCTGAAGCCTTTGTCCAGACAAGTACCAGACGCTTGGTGCAGGGTAGGGGCTGTGGAGTATAAAAAGTGGCCTTCCCATACCTTATAGGGTCCAGCACTGGACACTTGTCACGTGTCTGTGTGCTGACACTATGCCCGAAACCAAACATTGGTTAAAGTCAAGCCTGGCCTGGGCTGGCAGTCCTAGGGTGACGGGGTAAGCCATGCCTTCTCAGTGGCTAGCTTTGTGTTTAGGTGTACTCGTTGCTCCCAGTGTTGAGTGGAGAAGATAGCTGAGATGGTGCTGTCACCCAAGGCCATGCCGCCATGCAGGTCATCATGCCTTGATTGTACCAGATGCTTGTCCTGGATGGTCTGAGGCCTAGAGGGAAACCAGCTGTATTAGGAAGTCTGTGTCTCCTTGGGCATTGTAGCCCTCCAGTGGTGCCAGGACAGGTTTGGAGCTACTGAGGCTGGCCAACTGAGAATGCAAGGAATTGTATGTAAAGCATGGTGGTAGGAAATGCTTGAGAACAACTTGTGCTGGCACAGGGTGGATCATGTCCCCTCATACCATCTCACCACTGATTTGAGGATGTGATTCCTGTTGTTTGATTTCTGAGTAGAGAAACCAGTGTCTGGTAGTGGTACCTTCAGGGACCAGGCTGGAAGCCTTGAGCCTCCTTCTGGGCTGAGAATGGGGTAGGATTTGGAGAATAATAGCCTCAGCCAGCTGACTCGGGCTTTTAACCTGTGACCTTTAACTAAGCTCTCTCTCTGTGGGGCCTGTGTTTGGGGAACTCTATGAACTTATAGTTGGGACCCTAGGCAATTCTACTTCTCATCAAGCCTCAGTCTGTGCTCCGAGGATGATGTGGGTCTCTTTTTTTTGATACTGGTGTCTCAACAAATATTTCTGGAATCTTTGTATATAGTAGTCAGGGACAAATCTTTGAGAGTGTGAGGGGTACTGCTCTGTGGCCCAAGCCTACACTCTTGACAGGAGGCAGAGGCCCGTTTCACAGCAAGCATGCCGTACAAAGAAGTGGCATCCCTGACCCTGACTACCCTGGAGCCTAAGTACTTCAAACTGACCTCAGGGATGTCTGGGCAGCTATATTGGAGTGTGACTCTTTGTGCCCAACAGCCTTCTCTCTCTCTAGACTGTGGAGCATGGGTTCCCCAACCAGCCCAGCGCCTTGGCCTTTGATCCTGAACTGCGCATCATGGCCATTGGCACCAGGTCTGGGGCTGTCAAGATGTATCCTTTGCAGCCATGGCCTCGGGTCTGTCTACTGGCAGTTCCTAGGTTGTGGTCCTTATCCATTAGTTAGTGAAGATACAGGGCCTCAGGGGTGATGGTGTGGGCTGGAATCTCAGGCCAGGACTTGGGGATTGTCATGACCTCAGATCCTTGAGGGCCTCTCACTGTGAGCTAGGATGATAGCCCTGCTCTGTATTAGCAAGACTGTAATCAAGATCCCACTATCGACACTGCTGTGACTAGGAATAGTGAGGGAATGCCCACAGAGTGTCTGGTGACAGGCACACATGTGAAGGTCTGACATGCATGTGGAGCAGAAAGAGGATAAGAAGCAGTGTCAGACTGGGCATTGGGCATGCATTGTGCCTCACTGGGGCTCTATCATGGTCTAGATGCTCTGTGAGCTGCACAAAGCAGGCATTTTCCTTTCAAGCAAGATGAGGGCCCATCGCCTGCTACTGAAAATCCCACCCATTGTTTCTTGTTCAGGGAGCTCTGAGGGCCTAGAGGTAAGAAGCTGCAATATCTGAATCCACCATCTGCTCCACAGGAGACAAATGGGCAGTCTCCTGTGTAATTTACTGATTCTGGAAACCCGCTGGATGGTCAGCACAGAGTTCGTTCCAACTTGACTGTACTCAGCAACAACTTGCTATGCAGCCCCTCAGGCTGCCTGGCAAGTGACTAAGGCTACTTAGTGAGGAACATCCCTCCATCCTATCCTTTGTGTCCCTTTCAGTTTGGTCTCAAGCTGGCTGAAAATAATTTGATGGAGAATAGGAGGGGGAAGGGGCTGGGGTGTTGGCTGGACCAAGGTAGGTGTCTAGGGATGGTAGATGGGCCCCTGAGACACATATTTCATCAGCAGAGGGCTCCTGTGGTCCAGCACCATGCTGGCCACAAGGTCCTCAGAGCTGCCTTCGTGCATTCTTAGCTGAGTCAGAAAGAGGCAGCTGTCTGTCTTAACAGTGAACACACATGCAGGTGAGAAAGTCTCATAAGGTGGTGGTAGTCTCCTCCTTCCTCTCTCTCTTTTCTCAGAGCCTCTAGCTGGGCCCCTCACGTAGGGAAACTGAGACTGGGGAGGTTTGTTCCTGGCCATCAGAGCTACCCTCCCTCTACAAGACTGGCTTCATCTCCTTGGCAACCGTGATCTCTGCCCAGCTGCTCCTGCCCTTTCTTTTGTCCTCTCTTTTACACCCTGCCAGGGTCCTGCAGAGAATCCCAGCTCAGGCTCTAGGCAACGGCTTCTTTGTTTTGTCCCTTCATAGCCACACTGGTAGGGGCCCTCAGGCCTAATAGTCCTCCAAGCCTACCATCATACTTGGGGTTGCCAGGACTCTAGCACTGATGCTGGACCGTTTGAGCAGGTCTTCCAGTTTCTCCAAGCCTTTATGTTTTCTCTGAAATGGACAGGCTAGAATCTTTCATCCCATACAGTGAAGACCTTTGGCTATCTGCCTGGGGGAAAGAGGCAGCCTGGATTTTCTCCCCAAGTCTTCCTGGGTCCCCTCCGGGTTCTGTCTTGATGAGATGCTTCTGATCAGACCTGTCATGCATGCATCTTACGGGCATTGTTATGTGCTGTTGAGTCACCTGCAACTTGTAGCAATCCTGTGGTTCAATAGCTCTGAACCCTGCCCTATCCTGAACAAGTCTCACTGACTCCAGTACACTTATTCCTATTGTCCCAGTTGTTACGCTAATCCATCTCATCTGGGCTCGTCTTCTCCTGTACTGTCCCTCCACCCTTCCAAAGCATGATGTCCTTCTCCAAGGACTGGTCTCTCTTGCCCATGTGCCCAAAGTACATGAGACAGAGCTTCAAAATCTTAGCCCCAAGGAGAAACTTGGTTTCAGTCTCTACAAAACAGACCTATTTGTTCCCCTGAATGTCCATGATATCTTTAGTACTCTTGTCCAGTACCATAACTCAAAGACATCAATCCTTCTTCTGTCATCCTTAGTCATTATCCAGCTCTCTGATGCATAGCATGTATTTGTGAAGACCGTGGCCTGGATCGTGCATACTCTAGACTGGTGTCATTCCTCCTAAGCATTCTGGAGCACCCTGACAGCAGTCTTCCCCAATGTATTTCATCTTTTGATTTCTGACTGCTGGTGCCAAAGACCATTGATTGTGGAGTTGAGCAAGTTGAAATTGTTAACAACCTCAATCTCTTCTCCATCCATCATAGTGCTGCCAGTTGGCCCGTTGGTGAGAATCTGTCTTCTTGACGTTTAGCTTCAGTCCATATTAAAGACTATAGTCCTTGACCTGCAGTAAATGCTTCAGGTCCTCCTCAGTTTCAGCAAGCAAGGTTGTATCTGCATAGTGAAGGTTGTTGTTGATTCTTCCTTCAGTTCTGATGCCACATTCCTCATAAAGTCCAGCCTCTTGAATGCTCTGTTCCACATACAGATTGAAAAGGTGTGGAAACAGAATGCATCCCTGACACACTCCTTTCCTAATTTTGAACCGTGCAGTGTTTCCTTGCTCTGTTCTGACAACTACCTGCTGGTCCAGATTCAGGTTTTGCATTTATGCACTTTAGCACATGCACAAACATGTATGTATACACACACACAAATAGGCTGAGATAGAGGGCCACAGCCATGCAGCAGGCCTGGGCTGGATTTGGCAGGCCTGGTTTTAGTTATACATGCTCTGCAAAATAGCTTTGAGAAATTTGAGTTGCCAGCCCACTTTGTGGATGAGAACTTGAAGGTCACATAGTAGTGCTGGCCTGCAGGAAGTGATAGAGCCTGCAGCCTAGCCAGGAAGTACCTGCAGGTGGACCTTCCAAAAAGGAGAAGGAGGCTTGGATGCCCTGCCAGTGCCTGATTGTTTTATCCTTGACCATTCACCTCAGTTATGGTGCACCTGGTGTGGAGTTCACAGGCCTGCACCGTGATGCAGCCACAGTTGTCCAGATACACTTCCTGCCTGGCCAGGTGAGCCTCTACCCATGCCCTCTCCTGAGGCGCCTTTGCCCTCTCTCCCAGGCCAGCCTTGGTCTTACTCTTTGCTTGCCACTAGGGCCGCCTCCTGACCCTGCTGGATGACAACAGCTTGCATCTCTGGGAGATTGTCCCTCATGATGGCTGCACCCACCTAGAGGAAACTCTCAGCTTCCAGCCACCCAGCCGCCTGGGCTTTGACAGTTCCAGGTACTGGAGGCTTTGGCCAGTTGCCAGACACCACCTCTAGGGTCTGGTGGAAGCTCAGCACCATGTAGGGTGGGACATGCTTAAAGTTGGCAGGAGGATTGGGGTTCAAATTTAGGGTAAGTTGAGCCAGGCCGGGTTCCCAGGCTGAGAATTTGAACTTTGTGAGCCTAATCTTAGTTTGTGGTCAGCTGGTAGGTGTCTTGCAGTAGGACTTGTGGGAGCCTTGGACAGGCTGTGAACAATAGAAGACACAAGACGAGACAACCCAGGGTATCTCAGACTCTGTAGATTGTGGTCCTCTGGTTCTGTGTTCCAGGTTGTCTGGGTGTCTGGGGGATTGTGAGCTGCTGGGGCATGGCCAGGCAAGATCTGATGTCAGTGAGGGACATTCATGGGTGGGTTTGGGGCACAGGAGTCCTGCTGGCCATGCTCCAAGGGGTATTGGCAAGATGGACTGGGGGGAAATTGGGTGGGGACCTGGCCTCCTGGAATATGGAGGGCATCCTTGATCCCTGCCAGTATGCCAGCCCTGTCACAAGTGTGGCTACAGTGGGCCAGGTCTCCCATACCACACCACCTGGCTGGGCCACTAAGAGAGATTCATAGTGCTCTTGCCATGGTTCACTTTGAAGTTTGGGATGTGCAGAGAGCTGGGGCAGATTCTGTGCTGTCTTCTGGTGGGAAGAAGGAGCCAAGGAGCTGGGGTGCCACCATCCCCCCAATCTGGGAAGTTTTCCTTCCTGCCTCTGAGATGTCCTGAGGAATGATGGAGCTCCATGTGTGAAGAAGTGAATGGTGAAGCTCCCCACTTACTTCTCCACATGGTAGCCACTCCATAACGAGGGACCTGTATGCACCTTCCTCGTCCTCTTCCATCCCACAGTGCCTCACCCAGTTCCTCTCAGGTTACTGTGGTCCTGCTGGTGGCTGCCAGCAACAGGGCAGCCCTAGGAACGGAGGGTGGCAGCGTCATCTTCTTGGACTTGGACACACTGACTGTGCTTGAGGAGCAGACCCTTGGCCCCGATGAGGTTCTGCAAAGGTAAGAGGTGGCAGTGCCTGACCCTGGTGGCCCCAGATTGTGAAACTGTCTATAGGTTTCACTGTTTTTTTCTCCAGCCTGCCAGATGACTACCGATGTGGAAAAGCCCTGGGCCCTGTGGAATCTCTCCAAGGTCACCTGCAGGACCCCAGCAAGATCCTCATTGGCTACAGCCGGGGCCTCTTGGTCATCTGGAGCCAGGCTACGTCCTGTGTGGATCATGTCTTTCTGGGCAACTTGGTGAGTGGTGCACTACACCTGCCATGCCCCTTGCTCCTGCCCCCGGGCCGTGCTCACTTGGGCATCCCTGCGCATCCACAGCAGCTGGAGAGCCTGTGCTGGGAGCGCAGTGGGAGCACCGTGGTCAGCTCTCACAGTGATGGCAGCTATGCTGTCTGGCCTGTGAACTCAGGTGGCTCCCCTGTGCTGCAGCCCACTACAGTCACCACACCCTATGGTGAGTACTCAGGGACTCCTGGAATGGAACTCGGGGTGATGGGTGGGGGCTGACACCCCACCCCAGGTCAGGCTTTTGAACTGCCTGACCTCGGTGGGGTCACACAGGAGGACTGTTGGAAGATAAAGTGCCAACTCCCTGGAGGTGAGGACCATTTGGGGTCGTGGTTGGGTCTTGGGAAGCAGAACATTTGTGAGACTGGATGATGAGTTGAATGTTTGGCACAGTTGGATCCGATCAGGCTGGAAGCAGCACTGAGAGTTGGGCACAGATTGGCCTGACACTCTACCCTGCCTCTAGGCCCTTTCCCCTGCAAAGCCATCAACAAGATTCTGTGGCGAAACTGTGAATCAGGGTAAGTTGAGGGATTGAGGCCAGGGCTGGACACTAGGGCTGGACAAGTGTACCCAGGCAGCTCAGGGCTTACGGATCCATGCCTTTTGTAGGAGCCGTTTTCTCATCTTCAGTGGTGGCATGCCCCGTGCCAGCTATGGAGACCGCCACTGTGTGAGTGTGCTTCAGGCAGAAACTCTAGTGACCTTGGACTTCACCTCCCGCATCATTGACTTCTTCACAGTGCACAGCACTAAGCCTCAGGATGGTATGTTCCACCTCCCCTCCTTGCCTTGGACTCTACAGCTTGTAGCCGGCTCACCTCTCTTCCTGCCCCACAGAATTTGATGACCCCCAGGCCTTGGCTGTGCTGCTTGAAGAGGAGCTGGTGGTACTGGACCTGAAAACACCTGGCTGGCCAGCTGTGCCTGCCCCATACCTTGCCCCCCTCCATTCATCTGCCATTACCTGCTCAGCCCATGTGGCCAATGTCCCTGCCAAGCTGTGGACCCGCCTCGTGAGCTCTGGCGAGCAGCAGAGCCCTCAGGCTGCCTGCAGTACTTCAGTGTGTTCTTGGGCTCCCTTCTGGGTGGACTGTGGTGGGAGGGCATGTCCTGTGGGGGGGGGGTGTCAGTGGGCCAGGCCTGAGGTGTGCGTGTCAGCCTTCATCACCATCTGAGGAAAAAATATCCCAATGTTATTGTCACAACTCTGTCTCCCTCTTCTAGAGCTGGCCCATCACTGGGGGCCAGAATCTTGCCCAGGAACCATCTCAGCGAGGGCTGCTACTAACTGGGTAGGAAAGACATGTGTACCCCAGGACTCAGCATGCCTGTGACACTTGTGTGCATGTGCGCTAGTGAGACCTCGTCTCTTTAGACCTCGTGCAGCCTTCACTGTTGATAGGCCACAGGCCCATGACTCAGCTGAGCCTCTGTAGTACTAATTCATCCCCTACCTATCCCTGAGGGTGGATTGAAATAAAACCTCCCTAGACCTTGCTATGAGTCGCAAGCGACTCAACGGCACATAACAACAACAACCACAGACCTTGGATTGAGGCCTTTCCTACCCTGCCTTTTGACCTGAAACTGAGCCCTAGCAAATCCAATGGCTCCTCCTATCTTGCCTGCTTGGGACCAGAAGATCTGAACTAGCCCACGCTTAGCAGGTGTGGGAAGACCCTGCCCCTGCTGTCTATTTATGCTTGGATCCTCTGATTTTGGCTCTGGGGCACTGTGCCCCATATGGGGGTATACTACAGCTTTCAGTACCCCTGATGACTCCCGTGTTCAAGCCTCTTGTGCCCTGGCCTCATTTTCCACCCTGCTTAGGCATCCTTCACTTGGGCTTTGCAGCAGGGTCCTAAGGTTGCACCCTAGATTTGTCTAGTCTTTCTACATACACCTCCTATCCCTCCCTTACTATCTGTTGCTCTGCCCTTGGTTTTGTACCTCAATGATCATTCCTCCTGTGCCCCTTGCCCTTGCCTATAAGTAATGAACCACTGCTTCCAGTGGGGTGGCTTCCTCATACTACCTGCTCTGCTATTTTGGATTTCCCCACTTTCCACACTTTGGAAAGACCTAGGTTCAAGGCCTGGTGTGCAGCATGACCAGTCAGTTTGCATGTATGTGTGACGTATGTGTGTGTGCGCTTGTGTGCTTACTGGATGAGTGAATTGAGAGGGAGCTGACCTTAGTGTTCCTGACTTCTAGCCATGAAGATGGCACTGTTCGGTTCTGGGATGCCTCGGGTGTGGCGCTGCGGCCCCTTTATAAGCTGAGCACTGCTGGCCTGTTCCAGACAGACTTGGAGCACATGGACGGTCTGGGCCAGACTGCTGAGGATGACTGGCCTCCCTTTCGCAAGGTTTGTACTTACACTTCATTGACTTGGAGCAGCACCCTGGCCTACCTTTGTCCTGACCCCTTCCTCCCCCAGGTGGGCTGCTTCGACCCCTACAGCGATGACCCTCGGCTGGGAGTACAGAAAGTGGCACTCTGCAAGTATACAGCTCAGATGGTAGTGGCTGGCACTGCGGGCCAGGTGAGGCTGAGAGATATTTCTAGGTTCTGGAAGCAGTGTCCTGGATTAGTGGGCCTGCGTACCTTCTTATGGACTATGTCACCAGAACTCCCTGAGTTGAGAGTGAGAGGTGGGATAGTATTAGGGGTTAAGGGCAAATAGGAAGTGGTGCCTATGGCTGTGGGGAGCCATGAAAGACTGGGCCAGAAGCTGGATCATGGTCTAACATGGCCACATCTTGACCTTAGCTGTACCCTGATACTCAAAACAGAGTATTGCTAATCAGAGCTTGGGGCCTAGGGTCATGCGGGCTTGAGTGGGCCTAATCACTGCATGCACATCATGTAGGGTTCATCCAGAGTCTGGCCTAGTGGTGTTGGTGAATGCTTCTCATCTTCCTGTCATCAACTCTAGGTGCTGGTGCTGGAACTGAGTGACGTGCCAGCCGAGAAGGCAGTCAGCATGGCCAGTGTGGACCTGCTCCAGGACAGGGAGGGCTTCACATGGAAGGGCCATGACCGGCTGAGCCCACGCACGGGACTGTTGCCCTGGCCTGCTGGCTTCCAGCCCCGAATGCTGGTGCAGTGCCTGCCACCTGCCACTGTCACTGCTGTTACACTGCACACTGAATGGGGGCTTGTGGCCTTTGGCACCAGTCATGGGTTTGGTGTTTTTGACTACCAGCGTAAGAGTCCTGTGCTGGCCAGGTGCGGCAGTGAGACCATTGGAGGGGGTTGTGGGTGTGACCACAGCCCAGAGTGGGGTAGGGAGAAGTATTGGGGATGGTCTTAGATTGTAGTGCTGCTGCAATGGAAAGAACATAGATGGACAGCTTTGATAAGAGATACTCTTTCATAGTCAGGCCCTGTTCTAGGGTAAGGCCCTGTGGCAGGGTAAAGGCAGTTGTCTCTTCTGTGGCCCTATGTTTCTTGGAGATGTCCATTTGTCTTGGCATCATTGTTTCTCTGGGCCTAGAGGTTCCCTGTTCGAGGACCCTGGGGTCAGAAAATGCACTCCTTCCCTGTTTGTTTCACTCACTCTTGTTTCTTGTGGTTGTATGTTTTTCTGTCTTTGTTTGCATGTTTTTTATCTCTTGTTAAGAAGAAAGGGGACGAAGACTACAGCCCAGGTTAAACCCCTAACTTGGGTCAGAGCTGTGTCCTGAGGAAGGGTGTCACATTACATATTACTCCCCTGTAGCAAAACTGGTAGCAAAACTGGTGACACCCAGTTCCAAACTGACATCACTACATGTATGACAAACCAGAGAATCATAGTTTAGCCAAGATGACAGAGTTTACTACATGCCATGGAGTCTGAGCCTCCATCCTTCCCCCAGGGCCCTCTGGGAACCCTCATGCTTGGGCCTTAGTCTCCCACTTAAAATCTTTGATCCTATAAAGAAGCATTTAAAAGGCAGTGGTGAAATGTTCAGAACCACCACCATTCGGGCTTCTGTGACAGAGCTCTGTAGTGCCTGGCCACGTTTGCTGTTCCTTACTGCCTTCTATATTCCCCTAGGTGCACCCTTCACCCCAATGACTCTCTGGCCATGGAGGGGCCACTCTCTAGGGTAAAATCGCTTAAGAAGTCACTGCGTCAGTCTTTCCGGCGCATTCGCAAGAGCCGGGTGTCCAGCAAGAAGCGGCCTGTTAATACCAACAGCAAGGTGAGCAGGCAGGTGGATGTGCTGTGGGGTGCTGCTGCGTCCCAGCCTGGACAACGGCTCCCTCTCCTGATGTGGTTCATCAGGAGGATAGTGAGGTGGATTGCTGAGTGCCAAACAGCAGGCATGGAAGGCCAGGTGGCTGGAAAAGAAGGTGATGTTGCTTGGCCTCACTTCCCCTAGTTACAGGAGGCCAACGCACAGCTAGCGGAGCAGGCCAGCTCCCATGATGTGGAGGTGACGCCAGTGCAGCGCCGCATAGAACCTCGCTCGGCTGATGACTCCCTCTCGGGTGTAGTGCGCTGCCTCTACTTTGCTGACACATTCCTTCGAGATGGTGAGGCCACGGAAAGGGGTGGTTTGGGGCAAGGTAGGCCCAGGATGTTAGAAAGGGTCCTGAGCCCGATGACTGAGGGACTGTAGAATTTCTTAAGAGTGAGGTTTTGGTGAGCTTGGCAGGCAGTGGAAAGGCCCTGAAGTGAGTGTGGTGTGAGAGGTATAGGAGCTTTGTCATGAGGACACTGACTCAGCACCTTGGGAGCCAGCTGTGGTTTACTGGCTGATTGATCAGTTTATTGTAAGTTACAGTGAAGAGTTTCAAACCTGCACAAAAATAGAGGGGTATGGGTACCCACTGGATCCAGCAGCTTTCTGCCTCTTACCTCTTTATCCTGCTGGAGTAGTTTCAGCAGAAGGCCACACATTAGATCACTCCTTTGTGGACACCTGTGTCTCTCCACCAAAACATGGCTGGCTCAGAGTGCCAGGACTGTCCTGTACAACTCCTTGGATTGCCTGCATGTCCTTTCATTCGAGAATTGTCTTTTTGTACTGGGTACTTGCCCTAGTTGTCTAAGTCAGGTCAGTCATTCATGGTACATGTGCAGGGTGGGTCTTGCTTTGTCTGAGTATGTCCGTAGCCTCTGTAGTGTCATTTGCTTGTTGAGGAAGTTTGTCTAAGAGTACCACAGGTTGGTCTGTATGGCTAGTGCAGCCTTGGGTAATCTGTTCACAGCAGTTAGGTCAGTTCACCAATGGCTGGCCTTTTGGCTTTGCTGCTGGCCTTTGGCATATTTGTGGTACTTGGGATTACTCAGAGACTTTGTCCTCTGGGTTCTGCTGATGGCATTTGCTTAGCTCTATATGTGCATTCAGGACTGGTATCCTCCTGCCTTTGTAGGTTCTGATTCTGCCCAGGGTTTGTCCTCAGCAGGGTCTCCTGGTGGTTCAGTGTACACATCAATAACTTCAGGTGCTGGGAGAGTGTGCAGTGCGCCTGAGGGTAAACCTTCTGACCTGCCATGGTCCCTGTTTGGCCTCTGTTCTAGAGCATGCAGCCCAGTCTTACTTTTTGTTTGCTGAAGTTCTGGAGGCTTCCTTGTAAACAGTCTGTTCCCTTCTGCTGCTTCATAGAGAGCAGGTTGCATAGGGATGAAGGTACAGCAAAGATAGGGCTTTGGCCATGGACATGTAGAGCCTGCAATGGAACAGACAGGCCAGGTGGATCTGCCAGAGGAGGGCTTGGGTCCTCTCTCCACTGAATTAGCACTTTAGGACTAAGGGATGGTACGTGGGTGACAGGTAGAGGGATGGCTCAGTTTGGGGGCCTAACCCATTGCAAGTATTTCATCCTTGGGCAGCTGAGGGTGTAGCGGAGCCAGAGTAGTAAAGCTTGTCCATCTGGGGGTGTTGAAGGTACCTGTTAGTTGTTCCTTAGGAGCTCTGGAGGTGTGTTAAGATTAAATCTTAGAGCTTTGGAAACTCAGTGGAATTTTCCCCAATTCAGAATTAACTTGATGGCAGTGGGGTTGTCTTTAGGGAGATCAGTGTCCCTGGGCAGTGTCCTGGCAGTCACTGTAGGACTGAGTCAGAGCCTGGATTGGATTGGTCTAGAGATAGGTCGTTGACCTCTAGAAGGCCTTGATTAGTCATGCTGTCTTGCATGCCTTAAGTTAAGGGGAGATAAGAGAGGGATACCCATGAGGAGTGGGGGGCCCTAGGTATACAGGGAGATAAGGTCCTAGGCCATGCAACGCCCTTATGAGCTCTCCCTCTGCAGCTGTCCACCATGGTCCTACCCTGTGGGCCGGCACCAACTCTGGCTCTGTGTTTGCTTATGCACTGGAGGTGCCAACGGCAGTGGCTACTGTGACAGGCAGCGAGAAATGGCCAGAACGGGCTGTAGAAGCTGTTCTGGGCAAGGAGGTGCAGCTGATGCACCGGGCACCAGTGGTGGCCATTGCTGTGCTGGATGGGCGTGGCCACCCACTGCCTGAGCCCTTTGAGGCGTCCCAGGACTTGGCACAGGCACCAGACATGCAGGGTGGCCATGCAGTGCTCATCGCATCTGAAGAACAGTTCAAGGTGAGCTGTTAAGACCCATTTCACCAGAATCTCACCTCACTGACCAAAGATCCTCCCCACCAGTAGAATTCCCTCAAGTTTTTCCTCTCACTAAGACTTCCCCTGAGGCTTCTGGATCTGCCAGGGTACTGAGTCCACTTCCAAGGATTCATGGTTGGGTGGACATAGGAGTATACAACTGTTAGACTTTTGTGTTGATTGTGCCTAAGGAAGATGGTCTTGGAAGTTTCTAGAGAAAAGTGGTTAATCTATTAGGTCTGGAGAAAGAGAAGTGGGAATGGGAGGGTGTGGTGGGCAAAGGGGAGGGTGGTGCCGAAGGTGAATTGCCTCTAAACACAAAGGCCCTACCCAGGTATGCTGGGTAAGGCAGGGACTTGAGTGGCAGGCTGGCTTTGGGGTGGGAGTTGGCAGTAGTGGCCATGAAGGTGGCTTTTGGCCAGAGGTGAAGGGGGGGGAGGACATTGGGGGTGATGGAGAAGTCAGGTTCTGTGCTTATTGGTTGCCTGCTGCCAGGTGTTCACACTGCCCAAGGTGAGTGCCAAGACCAAGTTCAAGCTGACAGCCCATGAGGGCTGCCGTGTGCGCAAGGTGGCACTGGCCACATTTACCAGCGTGGCCTGTGAGGACTATGCTGAAACCTGCCTGGCCTGCCTGACCAATCTGGGTGACGTCCACATCTTCTCAGTTCCCGGCCTGCGGCCCCAAGTGCACTATTCCTGCATCCGGAAGGAGGATATCAGTGGCATAGCTTCCTGTGTCTTCACACGACATGGCCAGGGTGAGGGGACAGGCTGGGTGGTTCCAGCCAGTGTATGCTGGTGGGGGTTGGGGGGGATGAGCCTAGCTTCAGTTAGTATCTTTCTCTTAACTGTACCCTGCCTCCTTTCTCCTGCTGTACCTAGGTTTTTACCTGATTTCTCCATCAGAATTTGAACGCTTTTCCCTGAGTGCTCGTAACATCACGGAGCCTATGTGCTCTCTGGACGTTTGCTTGTCTCAAGACACTGCCCATATCAGGTGCACAGGGGAGCTGGGAAAGAAAAGTCCCGAGTCTGGGAAGCATTTGGCTTTGCCAGTTATCCCTGTTTGACTCTTGCTTGAAGAATGGGCCCCCTTACCCTGTCCCAGAGCTCTGCAGAGGGGAGCTAGGACCCTTAGAGCCTGTCCGTGACTTCTTCATGACAGTCCCTGCTCTGCAGCTCCAAGCACCAAGAGTCACCCAAGCTGAGCCAGGCCAATGGGACCCCAAGCATCATCTTGGCCCCACGGAGCTGCGACAGGAGCCCCAGTCCAGCCCAAAGCAAAGGAAATAGGGGTATGCAGGGTGGAGAGGGCAAGATCCTCCATAGTCCACTGCCAGTTGGCTCTATGGTATTTGCGGTCCTATAAATGTGGATGGTATCTTATGTGCTCTGTTCCCTCCAGACATGCTGGAGCTGCCTGACACCATACTCTCGCCCATATCCGTGGACTCAGCCACCAGTGCCAACACTACACTCAACACAACAGGGGATGTCACTGTGGAAGAGGTCCAGGATTTCCTGGGGTGAGGGAGGCACGCAGGTCTCTGGTACCTTCTCCCAAGGCCTGTGGGATCTGGGGAAGTTGCCTGGGCTCTCCCCTACCCTTCTGGAGGACCTGATCACCTTCCACTCCTCACCCAGTTCTGCAGAGGAACCCCTGAAACTTATGAGGAGCATAGTGCAAGACAAGGTCCCTGCCTACAGCATCTTGGTTAAGTGGAGTGCTGTGGGCAGAGGGTGGTTCTGCCTTCCCACTCAACCAGCCTCGGCTTCCTGGTCTTCAGTGTCTCAACCCTTCCTGACAGCCCTTCAAACCCTTTCCACTCTGCACAGCCCTGTGGTGGTTGGCTTCCCTGGCTGCCTTATCTGGGGTATCTTGAGGGAAGACTCTGAGTCATTTTTAGTGAGACCAATAAGGCCAGGTCAAAAAGATCTAAAGGAACTGCCAGCCTGGAGCACAGTGGCTAGCATGGCTTGATACTAACAGTTGAGAACTCTGAGGTGCATCATGTGTACAAGACCAGCAGGTTGAATTAATCTGGAATTTGGTTGGCCCACACCTAAACACAGGCCAGTCTTGGGCTTGTGGATCTCTCCAACTCTCCTCTCTTCTCCTTGGCCTTAGGGGTACTGGCCTGTGCCCCCAAGGCCATAACATCAGGCTTTGTCACTGTCCTGACCCCTGAAAGTTGACTATCCTGGCTTTGCGTCGGTTTGCTGATTACTCGTCTCTCTCTCTCTCCACTAGGTAGCCAGGATACTCCTGACCACTACCTGCCCTGCTCAGATCTGGGCCCTTAATATAGACACACACCTGCTAACTGGTGGGCTTCTGCTGGGAACTCTTCTGCCTTTCCTGGGCCCAGAGTAGCCCAGCTCTAGTTGTGGCAGAGGCAGGCTGGTCCTTCTGATGAGCTGTCCGCCACCCTAGGAGGCCAGGTGTTCTATGCATCATCCCCTTTCCTCCTCCTGCAGAGTATTTTTCTAACACCTTAGTTGGGCAGTCATTTCTAAAACTATTTTGGTACTTGATCTAGGGCTAGTGTCTATGGTGCATCCCACCCCCATTAAGTGCACATGTCGGTTGGGTTCCAGGTTGGGGGAGGGCTGGTGTCAGAATGGGCTTCCTTGTAGATTGGGGTTTTCCCCTGTCATTTTGTTAATGTATTAATATGGAAAGTACTGATTTTTTAAATAGTGAAAATAAATGCATTTAATATCTTTTCAAGAGTAGTAACATCTACCTTAGCTTCACCCACCAGCTCACACTGGCAGAACCCATTTTCTGATTTCTTGAGGGTTAGGTCTCCCCACAGGTGCTGATGAGCAGCTGTACAGCGACAGTCCTCTGCTTATGCTGTGTTTTAGCAGATGGTGGGTAGAGGCTTCATTCTCTCTCACCCAGAGCTTGAGTGAGCCCACCCTAGGCCAGGGCCTTCCTGAATGTGCTCCAAGCGTGGAAGCAGCGGGTGAAGGCATGCTGCTCATTGCCCTTGCGAACCAGGCGCAGACAGCGGGGTTGTTCCTGTATTTTGGATCGCAGGTGCTGTATGTACACCTGGGGAAAGAGGTAGAACCGGGAACTATAGCGTTTCCTTCCAGCTGACCGAGCCCATCTCAGTGCCCCCTTCTACGCAGGCTCACCTGGCAGGCCTTCAGACTTAGCTTGATCTCCACTTGGCTTGTCTGTGTCCCCACCCACATGTAGACCTGGGGACAAGGGACAAGGGTAGTAGCACAGAGGGAGACTGAGGAACATGCCTTTCTCAGGCCTCCCCACAGAGCTTACCTCTCGGCCGTTGTCTAGAAGCATAATGTCATCATCAGCTAAGTCATCTTGGCAAAAGTCAGAGCATTTCTCAGTCACTGCAAAGAAGCCCTTCTCATTGGAGCACCTGGAGGTCAGGGTGAGGTGAGGGTCAGGATTTAAGATGATGCTGGGGTGTAGGGAGGGGTGTAGGGATGGGTAAGAGGAGGAGGCAGAGGGGAAGGCATAGAGAGGGGTTGAGCGCTGGCCTCACCGGAAGAGCCGAGTGTGCTTCATGAACTCAGCATCATCGTCATAAGGCTTCTGTGCCCCGAGGCCCACCCAGAAGAAGTTCTCAGGCTCTTCACCTTCATTTATAACCTACAGATTAAAAGTCAGTCCAGCTCCAAGCCCTGCTGTCCTGCCAGCCCACCCACCCATCATGGGTACCTGCTTGCTATAAGAGGTATCAAACATGGTATTGAGGATATCCTCTGCCAGTTTGGCTTCATCAGGGTCTGAAGCTCTACCAACCCATGCATACACAATGCCTTGGTTGTCCTCACTCTCAAAGGGAACCTGGGGGTGGAGCAGGGGTTCAGGTTAGCACCAGCCCATGGACCAGGACCTTGAGCCAAGTTCCCACATACATGGACCCACCTTAAGAATGAAGCAGAATTCAGAGTTGAGGAGGCTGGAGTCTGTGCTAATCTGGATGCACCTAGCAAAAGAGGAAGAGAGGTTGGGAGTCAGGGGGGGTTCAGGGAGGTTAGGGATTAGGAAAAGACGAAGTCTGGAGAGGGTCTGGAAGCAAGGTTAGAGATCAGGGAGAGAGGCTGGGAGTCAGAACAGGAGAGTCCTGTCTGTCCCATGACCCGCTTGCCCACTGTGCTTCCCCCACAGGCACCGGGTACAGAGGGCGCTGCCATTGGTGCGGATCTGGTAGAGGCTGGGCTGCAAGGTGCTCTGGACCGCCTTCCTCTTGCCCCGGTGTATGATGAACTTTCTCTTGAAATGGGACAGGAATTTTGGGTTCTCCTGCTGTTGTGTCATGCGCACCACCTGTAGGGGAAGTTATCAGGACAGGACCCTTAAACCCTCTCTCTGCCTCCCCAAACACAAAAGGAAATGCGCCAAGACTGAAGGCACCATGGGGTAGGTGGGAGCACCTCCAGCTTGCCCGGGAAGAGACTCTCAAACTTCTTCTGCAAGCTGAAGGTGAAGGTGAGCCAGCCCATGTTGGAGGCCTCACGGCCCTGCCAGAAGTAAACGATGCACTGAAAGTCTTCCTCTGGTTGCTTCTCCTCCACCATAGCCGCCTCAGTTGCTTTGTCTTCTGCTCTTGCTGCTTTCTCTTCCTCCACTTCTTCCTTCTTTTCCTCTTCATACTCCACAGGCACCCAGTACCTGCAAGATCAGAGGGTGAGTAGGAGCCTAAGCCCCACCAGCAGCTGCTCTGGGGAGGGGCTGACAGCACCTGCAGAGGAAGACGTAGCAGTCTTGTGTATAGAAGTGGCCAAATTCCTCCTCTGGCAACCGGGAGAACTTCTTGCCCTCAAGCACAAAACCCTCCATGCCATCCAGGTCCTCATTCCATTCCTCCATCAGCTGCTCAGCCTACATGAGACCTCATGTGTTTGCTTGGGTACTTCACCCCAAACCACCCTCACTGCAAGACCTCCACACCTCTGTCAGCGATTCTTCCCAGGTCACCCCACTTCTGCCCACCCCATGCCTGCTCCCACCTCAGCCAGGACCATAGGTGGCTGACGTGGCAGAAAGAGAGCAGTGAGGTCAGCCTTCAATTGATCTTTCTTCTCAGTGTCACGCTTCACCTTCCCCGTCAGACCCTGGTTTTGTAGCACGGCCTCTGCATTGCGTGTATAGTCTACTGTTAGTACATCATCCCAGTTCTTGAACTTGGCCTTGAACACCTGCCATTGTAGAGGAAACATGAATTAGGCTCAGGCCTGCAGTGGAAGTTGAGGGTCTCAGGAGGTGAGACTTGTGTGGGCAGGGCCACGGCTAGGAAATAGGTGAGGCAGGTGGTGGAGTGGGGCAGAGCTGAGGATGGTTCACCAATGGGTCAGAGAAGGGAGTGGCTCCTATGGCAGGGCCCTGGGTTCACCTGTGCCTCAGTGCCCTCCAGACTGCGGCTGACAGCTGCGTGGCGTGGCCGATGCAGCATTCCGCATAGCTCCTGGCCCAGCTTGAGGGCAGCTGCGCGCACCAGGCGTGGGGACTTGCGGCCCAGCCAGATGAATACATCAGACCAACAGTCCAGGATGTACACAGAATGTGTGTCTAGCAGGCTCTGTAACTGGAAGCCAGAAGTTGATACAGGTTAGTCTTTAGGGACAGACCCCCAACATGTACCTTCTGTGTTCTAGGCCCCCAGGGATGGACACCAGCGTGCACCCTCCTCATTGCATTCTAGGCCCTTGGTGACAGATGCTTAGCCTACATTCTCTGCATTCTTACCAACCGCATCCCTGGCATGAGCTCCACCTTTGGCCGAGTTTTGTGCTCGATGGAGAGTTTATAGTTGATCTGTGGCAGCTCCAGGTAGCCCAGGCCCAAGCCCACCTGATGGGTAAAGAGGTGGGCATGACAAGGAGCAGTTCGAGGGGACTTTTTTTTTTTTTAATTTTTTTATTATTTTTGTGTGCGTGTACTGTCAAATCAGATCTGACTGGTACTGGAGGAGATTGTCCCTCCTTCCCCGGCAGAGCATCTGGTGGATTCAAACCGTGCGCCTCTGGGATTGTAGTTGCAGCTCCTTGCCACTAGGCCACCAGAACTCCCCTAGTTGGAGGGGACTTGCCACAAAGCCCCCAGTCTTGGAGCCTGACCCCCTGGCTTGAAGTGTGCTTCAGGTTGCTAGCTGCTCCAGTCTGGACTTGAGTTTTCTTCCCTTAATCCAGGGTGATTTTTAAGTGGTGGTCTAACTTTCTAAGTCCTTATTGCCATTTCTGAGCATCTAATGTGTTCCTCTCCTGCTAACAAAACCGCTACATCACTCATGTCTCTTACAGAATTAACTACCAGGGACCCACAGATACTTCTGGATTTTTCTATCCCGCTAACCATTCTGTAAACACACTATCACCCACTTCTCAAAAGCTCTAGTCCTCTGCTTAGACCATGTCCAGCAAATGGCATCCTGGTCACACCAAAGCCCAGGTGGAACCTCTTAGCTGGAATGTAGCTGCCATCTGAGAGGTGTTAGGGATAGCACTCCACTCCACTCCAACTCACCTTGTACAGTTTGGGTGAGGGTGGCCGGAAATTGTCAGGTACGTGCTTCTTGATCTCAGAGGGCTCTCCACCTAGCACCTCCCAGAACTCTGGGGGCTCCTGGCCCTGGATGAATAGCATGATCTCTGCCTTTCCTTTCCGTTCATTTTTGTTAATTTTCTCTGCAAAGAGTCTGAGGAGAAGGTGCAGAATCCCTAGTCAGGCTCACTTCCCTTTTCACCTGGGCCAGTGAGTGAATGAACAGAGCTCAATCCGGACATAACAAAGTCATCTGCATGGAACCCTGTCTTGTACCTGGCCTTGGTGGTGCTGCCTAACGTGGCCTGTGCTCCCCGCCACACATAGATGTCCAGCCCTTGGTCGAGCAGGAAAACAAACCTGGACAGAAGGCAATAGTTACTCACTGCCCTGAGCTCACCAAACTCCTCAGAACACAGCACCATGGGGTCTCAGATACCCTCTTGCCAAACGCCATGGCACAGGTAATACAAGAGGTTGATGGAGGGCTTCTGCTAGGAGATCCAATCCTGGTCCCCACTGTAGGGGAGAAGCAGGGGGTAAGGCACCCCTACTTTATACCATAGGGACTCACCTTGGATCCAGGGAGGCCCCCTTGAGTGGCACAGGTTCCAATTTAATGTTCTTTTTCCCATAGACACGGTACATCCTGGGGAGCAAAAACAGCTGAGCACAGTCGCCAAGTGGTTAAAACTCCCACACCCCTCCATCCACAGTGCCCATTTGGGTGTGGGCCATTATTAGTCTGCTCTCCATCTTAAATGGCCCCAATACCCTCACCTGGTAACATAGTGCATGTCCTCCACAGTGTAGAAGCCACTCACTGTCCCGCCTTCAATGTAAGAGATGTCATTGTCAAAAACCTGTGTGTGGGGAAAGAGGGCAGTTCCTCATCACTGAGCTGTCCCATGCCAAATACTACCCACTGGGCGGGAAAGAAGAGCTGTCTACACACATAACTGTATATTGGATATTAGAACAAACATGAACGTGACTTCCTGCACAATATTCACATCACATGAACATTGTTTAGATCTGTGGGAGTGCAAACCCGGAGGAACCTGGTGGTGGGGGATGGTCAGCTAGCTCAACTCAAGTACCTTATTCAAGCCCCGTGTCCTGCCCTGCCCGTGCCTCCTAAGCATCTTAGGGTCTAGTCTCCAGTGGCTCCCTGGCATTCCCTTGAGCCATCCCTGTCAGCTTGGATTTCCACCCCTCATCCTCATCCCACTGACTCCAGCTCACCTTCGGGGTCCCCGCAGTCTTTTCATTCCAGCTGACTGCCACTGTCACTTAGTCTTTACTCCTCAGGCCTCCCTTGCCCCTAACCTGGCCCACTGACCACACCAGGCCCAAGGGGTAGCTATGGGTAAGCACCTGCAGGAATTCTTCACTCTCATCGCCCATTTCTTCCCGAAGGGTTCGGCATTCAGCACCCAGGTAGTTGCGCAGGTTGACAGCATGGATGGCAGAGCAAGCCTTCTTGTCAAGGGTTGCCTCCCCACCAATCCAGTAGTAGATTTCCCAGTTCAGAGAGCCACTGTCATCCAGGAAGGTCTAGGGGCCAGGAACTCCATGTCAGCCCTCAACTGGGCCACCAGCCTGCCTGCCTTCACAAAGCCCCCTGCCCCCAAGGAGCTGGGAATTTCTGGGCTATTGCAGATGAGGTCAGAGGTCTCTCTTCCTTTGTACCTAGCCCTCACCTTGAGCACAATGTAGCAGTCAGCCTCATAGAACTTGCCATGGAAGGCCTCCTCCACCAGCACAGGAACAAAGTTTTCAATCTGCCAGATGGTCAGGCCTGGTAACTGACCCACATCCTCCGTGAAGAACTCTGAGTAGTCAAGACGCGGCTTCTCTAGGCCCTGGTCCCAGCGTCGCACATTCCCACCTGGGCCTGGGGCATCTGAACTCTCCTGGGAGCAGTCATAATGGGAAGTTTCATTCTGGGCAGCCACTCACCCCAGGACCTTTGCATGGTGATTCCCTCAACCCACGGCTCCCTCGCCGCCTTGGCCCAGTCCGCAGCTGGTCTTAAGCAGAGGCCAAGGTGACTTCTCTTGCCCCAGTATTGGCTGCTTTACCTCCTGCTTTTTATTTTTCTCCTGAGCCACATCTGACATGCCCTTCAACACCTGCTTGGCCTGGTCATCTTGGGCAGAGTCCTTGAGTCTCCGCAGCCGCATCTTTCGAGCCAGAGGGTCTTTGGGTGCACTCCCTGTTTGGGGGAGGGACAAACTGAAATCCTGGTTGGCTGTGTCTCCTTGAGCATTCGGCCACCAACTCTATCCCCCACTATCTAGCTCAGAGAATTCTATCCCCATTAGAGACAACATGTGAAGCCAGGCCAGGCTTTCCCTTGCTCACCAGCTGCTGCAGCAGCCACTGTGGCAGGGGAGGCACCTGCCAGTCGCAGCTGATTCTGAAGTGAGAAGTCTATGTTGTACCACTCAGTGGCATGGTCAGCAGGTTTGGGTGGCATGACCAGGCTGGGGTTCTCCCGCACATCCAGAACCTGTCTCACGGGGTGAATAGACATGTTGTTATGTGCCACCGAGTCGTTTGTGACTCATAGCAACCCTATGTACAACAGCCCTAAACCCTGCTCTATTCTGTGCCAATTGCATTGCCTCTGACACACCCATCCCAATTACCCCAGTCACTGAGTCAATCCACCTCATAGAGGGTCTTCCCCTCATGCGCTGCCCCTCTACCCTACCAAGCATGATGTCCCTCTCCAAGGACCTGTTTCTCCTTACAACATGTCCAAAGTATGTCAGACAAAGCCCCAGAATCCTTGCCTCCAAAGAGTAGCCTGGTTTAACCCTCTCCAGGATGAATTTGTTTGTTTTCTTGGCAGTCCATGGTACATTCAATACTCTTCTCCAGCACCACAGCTCAAAGGCGTCAATTCTCCTTCTATCCTCCCTGTCACTGTCCAACTCTCTGATGCATAACAAGTGATTGCAAAAACCATGGCCTGTATCAGGCGGACCTTGGTCTCCAGAGAGACACCGTTACTCTTGGGTACTTTAGAGAGATCCCTAACAGCAGACTTTCCCATTGCAATATGTTTTTTTATTTCCTGGCTGCTGGTGCCAAGAGTGTTGACCGTGGAGCCGAGCAAACTGAAGCTATGAACAATCTCAATCTCTTCGCATGTGAAAAACAGTTATCAGCCACACACAACTTGGTTTCTTGGTCTTGTTTGCAATCGTGTGCTGAGGAGCTGGGGCCTGGGTTCCCATAACCTGCTTTTTAAGCACTGCCTCAAAGGCTGGTGTTGTGGTATCACATAAACATTGGACATAGCTGGCACGCTCCCAAAGGCATCTGTTGGGGACAAGCCTGAGCATGAACCAGCCCTCTACCAGACCAAAAAGCAGAGGTTAGCAGTTTCCCAACAGAACAGAATTAATGCTCGTAGTTACAAGAGTCTCCCACTCACAGAGGGGACTGCCGTTCCCTGAGGACTAGATAGCAATTACCATCATTCATTTTACAGATGAAGAAGAACCAGAAAACCATGCCTTCTCCAAAGACTACAATACATGGCAACTCCAGACAAGAAAGGTCCATACTCTTTCCACCCAAAACTGGTTCATTCTAATTCACTCCAAGCCCAGGGCACAGTACCCTCTAGGGATCTAAGCTAAGTCCCACTAGCTTCAACACTCATACCTACTTGAGTCTGCCTGCCTGCTCTATTCCTCCCCCCTCCTTTCTACTCCCAGCATCCAGCCCAGGCCTTCTCTGGACCTCAATCTCTGTCAGGAAATGGATGGCCTCTGGGAGGGTCACCAAGCGGTTCTTGTTCAAGACGAGTCTCCTCAACTTTGTGCATCTGCAAAGACAGAAAGAGCTGAGATGTGGAGGTTTCAGAAGGATGGTGGAGGTTAGGGTCAGTTCCAGGGAGGGAAGGGCAGGCTGAGCTCAAAGTCACTGAGCATCCGGCTTCTCTTAAGAAAACAATGAGTTTCTTGGCGAGCTGAGGTGGACTAGTGGCAAGAAGCTGCACTGCAATCCCAGAGGTGCGCAGTTCGAATCCACCAGATGCTCTGCTGAAGGAGGCACAAGCTCCTCCTGTACCAGTCTGATCTGATTTGATCACACAAAAAAAATAATAAAAAAGGTAACAATAAATCCATTTACCTAAAGACATCTGATCTTTGACAAGGGGCTAAAACAAATGAAAAAAAAGTCTAACAAATGGTGCTGTCAAAAATGGATGCCCATTTGTAGAAAAATGAAACACGATCTCATATACAGAATGAACTCAAGACAGATCTTGACAACACCTAAATGTAAAACCTATAATTAACTAGCCAATGAATGTTAAGTGCTGTCAAGTTGACTACAACTCATAGAAATCCTACAAAAGATCAAACATTTGCCATATCCTCATGATGTCCATCAAGCCTACTGTATCCACCCCATTAAGATCTTTTGCTGACTCTACCATTCCCTGCATGATGATTTCTTCCAAGATCTCGCCCCCCCCGACAACACATTGAAAGTATATGAGACCAAGTTTCATCATCCTTGTCTCCAAGAAGTACTCTGGTTGCACTTCCCCCAAACAGATTTGTTTTTGCTTTTGGCAGCCCTGAGGAGGAATGTGGCATCAGGATTGGAGGAAGACTCTTCAACAAACTGCGTCATGCAGATGGCACAACCTTGCTTGGCGAAATTAAAGAGGGCCTGAGGTATTTGCTGCAGAAGGTCAAGGGCTGTAGCCTTCTATATAGATTGAAGCTCAACATCTAAAGATTCTCACCACTAGTCTGACTGGCAACATCATTGATAGGTGTTTACTATGACTGAGATTGTTAACAGCTTGAGCTTGCTTGGCTCTACAATCAACACTCTTGGTACCAGCAGCCAGGAAATCAAAAGACAAATTTAATTGGGAAAGTCAGTAGTCAGGGACATAAATTCCAGAGTACTGAAGAACAATAATGTCAGTCTAGAGACTAAAGTGTGCCTGAACCAGGCCATGGTCTTCACAATTACTTGCTATGCATCATAAAGCTGGACAATGACTAAGGATGACAGAAAAAGAATTGATACCTTTGAGCTGTGGTGCTGGAGAAAAGTACTGAATATACCATGGACAGCTAACAATAAATAGGTTCATCCTGGAGAGGGTGAAGTCAGGTTGCTCCTTGGAGGCAAGGATTCTGAAGCTCCATCTGACCTATTTGAGGCATGTTGCAAGGAGAACATCATCATGCTTGGGAGGGTGGAGGGAGAAGGCAAGAGAGATAGATTGACTCAGTGCCTGGGATAATTGGGTTAAGTGTGTCAGAGACAATAAGGTTGGCTCAGGAGAGAACACGGTTCAGAGCTGTTATACACAGGGTCACTGTGAGTCATTCGCAAGCAACTCGACAGCACGTAACAACATGATATATTCAATACTCTTCACCACCACCACCACAGATCAAAGGCATCTATTCTTCTCTCTGCCTTATTCACAGTCTAAATTTCAGTTGCATAAAAAGCAACTGAAAATAGCATGGTCAGCATCAGGCTCAACTTGACATCTTTGCTCTATCTCACTTTAAAGAGCTCTTAGACAGATTTTCCCAATGCAACAACATATCTTTTGTGGTGATTTTTTCTTTGGTCATTTTAATGAAAGTTGGGTTTTTATTCATTCACTGTTGCATATTTTCATCCCTCCTCCTATGACTGCTGCTACCATGACAGTGGATACAGTAAAATCATTGAAAATGTTAATTTTTTCTCCATCTATTGTTATGTTGCCTACTGGTCCAGTGGGTAGGATTTTTGTCTTCTTGATGTAGAGATATATTCCATATTATAACCCATCCTTGATCTTCTGCAACAAGTGCTTCAAGTCATCTTCCCTTTCTGCAAGCAAGATTGTGTCATCTTGCATAATGCATGCTATAGATTAGTCTTCCTCCTATCTTGATGCCAGTTTTCTTCATATATCGAGTTTCTTGAATTATTTGCTCAGCATACAGACTAAATAGGTATGGAGAAAGGATATAACTCCGAAACACCTTTCCTGATTTTTTTTTAAACACACTGGAATGGATGTTTAATGAGCCAATTATTTTTTTTTCATTGATTTTAATGAAAGTTTACAGAGCCTTTGGATTTCCATTACCTTTCCTGATTCTAAACCATGCAGTGTTCCCTTGTTCTGTTCATACAGCTTCTTGGTCTATGCACAGGTTTAAGTGTTCTGGGATTCTTATTCTTGATCTATGTACAGTTAAGTGTTCGGGAGTTCTCATTATCAGTATTATCCAGAATTTGCTATGATCCACAGAGTCAAATCAATGCTTCTACATAGTCAATAAAACACAAATAGATATCTCTCTGGTATTTGCTGCTTCAGCCAAGATCTAACATCAGCAATATCCCTCCTTTCATGGCTTCCTCTTAATTCAACCTGAATTTTCTGGAAGTTCCCTGTCAATGTATTGCTCCTTTTAAAAATAATCCTCATTAGAGCCTCTACTTGGAATATTATTGCTTTTTAATTTTTTACTTATGTACTTTTAACTTGTTAAATTTGTGTCTTCTAAGCTGCAATACTTCCATGATACATCTTCAAGGATATGAACATGTACGCCAAAGCACAATTGATAACAGTGCATCTAAATTCCAAAATCAATCTCCATAATAGTGTATGTGTTTCCCTTTAGTGAGAGAAGACATTCACCCTGAAACCCACAGCGTCCCTTTTCAGCAGGAAGTAGCTAAGAGAATACGCCATCCCCTTTTCCTTATGAATCAGGGTGAAGTCTCTCTCAGGGAGGAGTGATAGGGAATGGCAAAGGACACACTGACAAAGGAGATTAATCAGACTGGCTTTGACAAGCACTGTGGCAATTGGACAATTAAAACAGACCTTCAAGGGGGGGGAAGAATGAACTGGGGAGGAGGATAGAGAAAATAGTGCAACAATGAATTAATGGAAACCCAAAATCTAAATTTTCATTAAAATTAATAAAATTTAATAATTTATAAAAAATAATCTTAAGATTTTTATTATTATTAATTGGTGTGTGTGTGTGTACTGTCAAATCAGATCTGACTGATACAGGAGGAGATTGTCCCTCCTTCGGCAGAGCATCTGGTGGATTTGAACTGCTCATCTCTGGAATTGCAGTGCAGTGTCTTGTCACTAGGCCACTAGAGCTTGCCTATCTTCAGTAAGATTTTACTTCTTGTTATGTACTATCGAGTTGCCTGACTCATAGTGACCCTATGTACAATAGATCTTACCTCTGCTCTATCCAGAGCCAGTCTGTCTCTGACACACCTACCCCGCCTCCCCTTACCCCAGTTACTGTATCAATACATCTATCTGGAGTCTTCCTCTCCTATGCTGTCCCTCCATCCTTTCAAGCATGATGTCTTTCTCCAGGTACTAGTCCCTCTTGACCACATGCCCAAAATACATGAGACAGAGCTTCAAAATCCTTGCTTCCAAGGAGCAGGGTTCCTTGGTTCTACTCTCTCCAACACAGACCTGTTTGTTCTCTATGGTATATATGTTCAAGACCTCTCCAGCACCACAGCTCAAATGCATCAATCCTCCTTCTGTCATCCTTGGTTACTGTCGTCCAGCTCTCTGATGCATAGCAAGTAATTGTGAAGATCATTGCCTGGGTCAGGTGCACCTTAGTCTCTAAACTGACATCATTATTCTTTAGCACTTAGGAGAGGTCCCTGACAGCAGATTTTCCCAGTACAATTGGTCTTTCATTTCCTGACTGCTGGTACCAAGAGTTTTGATTGTGGAGCTGAGCAAACTGAATGTTAACAATCTGTCTCTTCATTTGTCATAGTGCTGCCAATTGGCACAGTAGTGAGATCTTCTTGATGTTGAACTTCAATCCAGACTGAAAATTCAGTCCTTGACCATCTACAGCAAATGCTTCAGGTCTTTCTCAGTTTTAGCAAGCAAGGTTGTATCATCTGCTTTATGCAGGCTGTTGATGAGTCTTCCTCCAATTCTGATGACACATTCTTCCTCATAAAGTACAGCCTCCCAAATAATCTGTTCTATATATAGATTGAAAAGGTATACATCCCTGAATGCACTCCTTTCCTGATTTTGAACCATGCAGTGTTCCCCTTCTCTGTTCTGATGACTGCTTCCTGGCCCATGTTTAACATGAGACAATCAAGTATTCTACGATTCCCATTCTTCTCAAGGTTAGCCTCAATTTGTTGTGATCCACACAGTCAAAGAAATGCAGATAAACACTCCTCTGGTACTCTTTGCTTTCATCCAAGATCCATCTGACATTGGCAATAATGTCTCTAGTGCCATGGCCTCTTTTAAACCCAGCTTGTTTTTCTCTAGTTCTCTGTCAATGTTATGTTCCAGTCATTTTTTTATAATCTTCAGCAAGATTTACTTGCTTGTGATATTAATGACACTGATTGCTTGGTAATTTCTACATTTTGTTGGATCACCTTTTTTTATTAATAGGATCAAATTTGGATCTCTTCAAGTTGAATCACCAGGAATCTTCCAAGTTTTTTGACATAGGCTAGTGAGCACATCCAGAGCTGCATGTTTCCTGAAACACCTTAACTAATATCCCAACCATTCCTGGAGCTTTATTTTCGTCAATGCCTTAGTGCAGCTTGAATTTCTTCCTTCAGTACCAATGGTTCTGGAGCACCTAAAATGGTTCCATGTCAGACAATTCTTTTTGGTACAGTGACAATCTATTTTTTGCACATTTAATTTTAATACTATGCTTTTTCTTCTCAGATTGCCCTTTGAAATATCCTGTCAGTTCTTTTAAATCTTAATTTCTTTCCCCTTGTTTTAGCTTCTTTTTGTTCCAGCAAATGTTTCCATTTCTTCTGACATCCTACTTTTTTCTTTCCTGTGCTGGAGAAGAGTACTGAGAATACCATGGACTGCTAGGAAAACAAATAGATTTGTCCTGGAGAGGGTTAAACCGGGTGGCTCCTTGGAGGCAAGGATTCTGAGGCTCCGTCTAACTTACTTTGGACATGTAGTGAGGAGAGACCGGTCCTTGGAGAGGGACATCATGCTTGGGAGGGTGGAGGGACGGCGCAGGAGAGGAAGGCCCTCTATGAGGTGGACTGATTCAGTGACTGGGATAATTGGGATGGGAGTGTCAGAGACAGTGCGATTGGCACAGGACAGAGCGGAGTTTAGGGCTGTTGTACATAGGGTTGCTATGAGTCGCAGGTGACTCGACGGCACATAACAACAACAACAATCTTTGAACTGACTTTTTGCTTTCTTCCTGGATAATGTCCTTAATGCCATCCCACAACCTGTCTTGTCTTTAAATGGTTTTTAAATTCAGTTAGAATAGACTCAAGGTTGTACTTTGAAACCTTTCATTTTCTTCATCTTCAATTTGAATTTGCATATGAGTAACTAACAGTCTATACTACAGTCAATTTTTGGTCTGGTTTACTGCTAATACTGAGCTTCTCCAACCTGGTTCCTGTGTAGTCCATCTGTAGGGGTTAAACTGACCAAGGCAGGAGCTGCCTAGATTGTAATCTAAAGAATGCAACCATGGCAAAAAGATAATATGTATTATGGATGTGTTACTTGTAAAACTTTAATTCTTCCACTGACCTTGCCTTCTGACACAGATAGATGTGGTCTTGTAAACAAGAAGAGTCAGCAAATAAGAAAAGAAACAGTAAGCAAAATCATATCCTGTAACTCTAGTTACATGCTTTTATTCCTACTTGTAAAACTTCTAAAATAAAAGCTGTGAGGACTACAGGTTGAAAGGACACTTTTGCTATCATTGTTGTTTGCTGTTTTGGCCAACCATAGGATGTTCAGGGCTCTTCTCCAACACCACAGCTCAAAGGCATCAGTTTTTCTGTCATCCTTATTCAATGTCCAGCTCTCAGATACATAGCAAGTGATCAGAAGGACCATGGCCTGAATCAGACACTTTAGTTCTCACAGTGACATTATTGCTTCTCAATAATTTGGAGAGGTCCTTGACTCCAGAGTTTACCAGTGTAATACATCTCCTGATTTTCTAACTGATGGTACCAAGGGTGTCAATAGTAATAGTGGATCCAAGTAAGATGACATAGTTGACAACTTCAATATTTTCTCTATCTATCATAATGTTGCCTGTCAATCCAGTGGAAAGAAACTTTGTTTTCCTGATGTTAAGAAGCAATCCATATTGAAGGCTATATTCTTTGATCTTCTGCTGGTGGATTTGAGAAGTGTCATCTTTGAGTAAGCAGCACCACCCCCTCTGTACTCAACCAGCAGAGCTTCGTTAGCCACTCCACTCAACTTGCTGCCACTGAGTGGGAACTGACTCATGACCAACCTGCCACTTGGTTTTCAGAGGCTGTAAATGATCTGAGGGTGACTGGCTATCATCCTCCATAGGAGTATCTGATGGATTTTAAGTTTTGGCCAGGCAACTTCTTACTCCCTAGGCTACCAGAGCTCCCTGAAGCCACTGCAGAGATGCAAATAAAAACAAAAATGAGGTAAAATGAGAAAAATTCTGGAGAGCATGTGTAGAGATTAGAACTCTCATAGATTGCTGTAAAATATTAGAACCACTGTGTAAAATGGTATGGCACTTCTTCAAAAAGTTGGAAACAGAAATACCATCCGATCTGGAAACCCTACTGTTAGTACCCAGTAAGAAAAGAATGAATAAACAAACACATAATACAAAATAATATGCAACATTAAAAACCAATGAAGAATCCATGAAACACTTTATAACCTGGATGAACCTGCAAGACATTAAACTGAGCAAAATAAGTCAATCATTAAAGGACAAATATTAAATAAGTCCAGTATATAAAAAGTTTTATACATAAAAATATTCTTAGTTTTCAGGGATGAGAGAAGAGAGGAAAAACATTAAGTAGGTAAGAGACATATTACACTGAATAAAGAGGAAAGCAATATACAAAAAAATGTGAACAACATATCACTATTAAGGAAAAGAAAGTGACAGGGATATGCTTAAGAGTTATTGTCTGAGGGAGCTCTGGTGGCCTAGTGGCAAGAAGCTGCACTGCAATCCCAGAGGTCTGCGGTTCGAGTTCACCAGATGCTATGCTGGAGAAGGAAGGACAATCTGCTCATGTACCAGTCAGATCCAATTTTTAACACGCACAAAAATTAATAAAATTTTTTTACAGATGAAGGAAAGAACTGTTTAAAATGAATATATGATTAGGCATTATATATATATGACAACCGACAAGAATAAGATGTGCATAGCAAAGTAGACTAGGGGACAGGGGAGAGAGGAAGACAGAGGAAAATAAGCAACAATGAATGAATAAAAATCCAACTTTTCTGTAAAATTATGTTAAAATCACAATTGTTTTTGTTATGTGCTGTTGAGTTTTTTGCAACTCATAGCAACCCTATGTACGTACAATAGCCCTGAAACCAACCTGGTCTATCCTGTGCCAACATTATTTAAAAAATTATATGCAATAATAAATAATTTTTTTTTAAAGTGATCATGTGAACATCAGCCTCCAATACCCAAAGACTGGCTACTACTGCTGACCACTGTGACAGACCACTTCTGATAGATTGGTCAAAAGATGTCAAACAAAATTAAAAATTATAGCCAAGAACAGGCTTATTGGTCTGGTGGAGACTGGTGGAACTCCAAGATTATGACCTTTAAGCACTCTTTGAGCCAGCAAGTGAAATAACCCCATTCTTTAATTTTCAACCAAACAACAGATAGGTCTATGGACATGGTAACATCAGGAAGAAACACAGCCCTCAGAACAATCAATCATACAAGATTAAAAGGTGCAGGGAAGACTGAAAGGGCAACAATGCCCAAGGGTAAAGCTTAGAAGACAAGCGTAGTGAGGGAACGACAAATGGTGATGGGAAACACAGAAGCAGTGGGAAAAGTGCTGTTACACTTACATCATAATAAAAGGTAATGAATAAGGGAATTTTTTAAAAAAATGAAAGAACACAGTGGGTTCTGAATGTCAGGAAAGACCGGAGAAGCTAGAACTGTTGAAGTTAGAATCTCCCCAAAGTATGGGACTTCTATACAGTATTTACCAAAGTGGCCTTCTGTGGAATTAAATGTTCCTTGGATACAAACAAGAAATTGGGAAAAGTAGGGAAAAGAAAAACCTTGAAAACAAGTAGCTCAGCTCCAGGCCTGTAAGATCTCCTGGAGCCCGGAGAGAACATGAGTTAGCTCTGGAGCCACTGAGCAGAACAGGAGTGGCACTGTGTCACCAGACTATGGGAAAGTTTAACCCTGGCTTCAACCCATCAGTGTGCTCCAAGAAGCCGACACTGGGAACTGCTGACTAGTGCCTGGATACTTCTTACCCACAAAGTCAGATTAACCTATTCTCATTTTATATGACATACCAAGCCAAACCAAGTATTTCCATGGAGGCTAGGATTTTGAAGCTCCATCTCACATATTTTGGGCATGTGGCCAGGAGAGACCAATCCTTGGAGAAGGACATCATGCTTGGAAGGGTGGAGGGATAGCACAGAAGAGGAAGACCTCAGATAAGATGGATTAATACAATGACTGGGGCAATTTGGGTTGGTGTGTTGGAAATAGTGAGACTGGCTCAGGACAGCTGGACACAGGGTCGCTATGGGTCCCAGGTGACTTGATGGCATATAATCATAACAACCACCACCACCACCAAGCCCAAACCAAACTTACTGCTGTGGTGGTGGTGTTGTGTACCATCTAGTTGACAGACCCATAGCTAACCCTCCAGCTGGTTTTCATGGGCAGTAAATTGTACAGGAGGAGACTGCCTATCTTTGTCCCACAGAGCAGCTGAAAGATTCAAACTGCATACCTTTACACCAGCAGTATGATTCCTTACCACTACTTCAGACTGCTGTATTGTTGTGGGCCGTTGAAGTCAGAAATTGACCCAGAGCTCACCCTCCAGTGAGTTTTCAGAGGCAGTAAATCACACAGGAGGAGACTGCCTATCTTTTTCAGGCAGAGCTGCTGGTGGATTTGAACCCTTCGGTATTGCAGCACAGCTTCTTACCACTAGGCCACAAGAGCTCCCTACTATTGCTGTGTTGTGTTATGTGCTGCCAAGTCATTTATGACACTTCTGTGTAGCTGAGTCTAATCAACAGCTACCCTAGAAGATGGGGCAGATGTGCTCTCTGGGCCTCCCAGGCTGGAAATACCTGTGAAAGCAGATTGCTAAGTCTTCCTCCCTCAGAGAAACTGTGGGATTTGAATCCTTGACCCCTTGGATAGCAGTTGAGAAGTTTAACCACCGCTTCCACATAGCTCCTGACCTGACCCCATTCTGGACTCTTGCAGGACCCACCCTAGACCCAATGCAGTCCTCACCTGCAGAGGCTCTCGGGAATTAATTCCAGGTTGTTATTTGCAGCCATGAACTCTTCTAGGTTAGCCAGCTTTCCGATGCCCGAGGGCAGTCCATCAAAGTCCAGCTTATTAGAGTTCAGGTACAGTTTCTTCAGCTTGGTAAGCTTGCAAATGGCTGACTGGAAGGGAGATGGCTGGGTTAGGCAGGCCCGGAGGCATCTACCCCACCCCAAGCAGCCTGCACTCACAGGCAGTGACGTGAGTTGATTGCGGGACAGGTTTAAGGTTTCCATGTGCACCCACTGGTCAATGCACAGGGAGAGCTCCGGGATCAGGTTGCTGCTGAGGTTGAGGCGGCGCAGGCTGGAGAGGGTGTACAGGCACTCAGGCACACGAGCCAAGTCATTGCAGGACAGGTCCACATCTAGGGATGTGAGGAACAGGCATCAGCTGTCTACACAGCAGGCTCTGGGGCAGCCAAGCCTAGTTTGAGCACAGTTCTGCCCTACGTACAGGATGTGTAGCCTTGGGTAAATGACTTAACCTCTCTGAACCTCGGTTTCTCCAGCTGGGATGAGAGTTAGTAAGCATAAAATCTGAGCATAAAATGTGTTTGACAAAAAGAACCGTAGCACAGTTGATGGCCCATGTCTTTGAGTAGCACTCAGAAAGCAGGCTCCATTTCTTTCTAAGGGAAAGGTTACACAAAGAGGACCCATAGTCTTACCTGTGAGGTTGCTCAGGCCCTCCAGGCTAGTGGGGAGGTTGCTCTGGGTGCGCTGTGTGTTTTTCAGGTGCAGTGTCTGCAGGGCCAGCATCGCAGGCAGCTGCCTGCAGAGAGACAGGAGGTGTGGTCAAAGCCAGGAGCAGGGCCACTTCTGGGGGGTTTCAGAAGGCAGGGCCAGGACCAAAGTGGCCATACAGGCCTGGGAAGGCAGCATGTGGTCATCCACCTGAGGGCTGAGAAAGGGAGAATGTAGAGGAGGCTGAAAGGACAGGACAAAGGTAGGAGGTGTGGGGATATGGAGGTTGGAAGGTGGTACAAGATATTTAGGAAGGCGCTAGCCAGTTCAGCCAAGGGGCAGAGTCTGTGGAATACACACTATGAACCAGGAGGCATCTAAAAGGGGAAGAGCCAAGGCTACTTAGAAGTTAAGGCTACAGGGAAGTCTTTTTTGAGGGGACAGGGTCAAATCTAGTTGTGCAAAGGCTCAGGGCACATTCTAGGGCAAAGGTGCAGACAGACCGCAACTGTGCATGCAGCAGTGGGTTCCCATTGAGCACAAGAGTCTGCAACTGCACCAGGCGCCGCATTTGTGGTGGCAAACTCTCCAGGCAGTTCTCGCTGAGGTCCAGGTATAGCAGGTCTGTGAGGTTGATGAAGAGCTGGTTGGGGATAGTGTCAATGCTGTAGAGAGAGGGCAGGGGTCAGGGGTCTTCTGAGGTGACCTGGTCACCCAATGCCAGGCTCACCTGACTCCTGCATTGTTTCCTGGGCCTCCCTGGCCTCCCCTGAGCCCCCAACCCAGCGGGGTTAGCACCTGTTGTGGCTGAGGTTCAGCACCAGCATGTTTTTTGCATTTTCCAGCTCCCTCGGGCACTCAGTCAATTGGTTGTAGCTCAAGTCCTGAATGGGTGGAACAAGACCCTAGTCAGGAATGCTTGTGACTGGACCGACTGAGCCTGGCCCTGCCTGGCCCAAGGGCTCAGTGAGATGAGAGGTGGCTGAGTTAGAGATGCGATTGCATGAGAGACACAGGGAAGAACTGCCTCAGCTTCCTTGTGAGTCAGAAAGGTTAATGGTGGCCTCCAGGGACCAAAGAACTATTTCTTGGAGCTGCAGAAGATGAGTGGACAACTACTGACCAGGACTGAGAGGTCATCCAGCTTGAAGATGTCATCAGGTACTCCAGAATTCTTCAGGCTGTTGGCCCGAGCCACAATGGCCTGGGGATAAAACATGAAGATTAAACCATGACCCCTGGTCTCTGCCCCCAAGAGGAAGCATACAGAGTTCCTCTAGGAAGCCCACTGCCACACCATTGGCTCTCTGTTCACACAGCCCCTCCATCAGGTGGGCTTTTCCAAGCTTTCTTGGGAATTCTGATCACACCACAAAACACAGCCTAGCCCAGTTCAGCGATGACTATCCTCCCAGCCTCACTTTATCCAACCCCAGCTCACTAGGGGCTGGATATGACTTCAGTCTCTGTTCAAAACTTTCTACCTGTGAAATAGATTGTTGTTGCTGTAAAGTGCTTTTGAATTTTGACTTTTTGCCACAACCCAAAAGTAGTGGTTCAAATCCACCAACTGGTCCACAGAAGGATGGGCAGTCTCCTCTCATGCAATTCAGAGTCTGAAAACCCAGTGAAGGGTCAGCTGTGAGTTGGTTCCAACTTGATGGTACACTGCAAGAAAAAGTCTTTATGGAAACAGGCTTCAGGTCTTTTTCTCATGAAACCACTGTGTGATTAGCAGCTATGCACTTCATCATTGCACCACTAAAGCTGCTTGTAAAATAGGCAGAAATCAAGCCGTGTGTGTGTGTGAAATCTATAAACACTATTTAGTCTCTAATAACTATTAATGCTGTGTATGTACTTGCCCAAAATGGGTAGTATTTTGGGCTTTACCTTTTCCTCATAGAATTCTCTAACCCATCTCATTTACTTGATCAATGCTTTATTTTGGTTTTTTTCTTTTAGATGTAGTCTAGGCTCTGACCTGAGGCGCAGAGATGCCTGAAGTCTGGCCCTGCTCTCCCTTTCTGAGTCCCATCCTCATGGCTGGTGGCCTCCCAGACAGCACTTACCCGCAGAGATGGCAGGCTAGACAGCTCCCCATGAAGTGTGGTGAGGTGGTTATGGCTCACAGACAGGTGCTCCTGGGCCAAGACAGGGCAGCAGGGGCTCAGGGAGGTGGGCCAGGTGGCTACTGGGCTCTCCTCCACCACCATAACCTCATTCCTTCAATACCCTGTGCCACGAAGGTCTAGTGCACTCTGTACTCTTCATCCACGATAAAACCAGTCTCTTCCTGCTTACCTTCTCAGACAGGGGTGTGCTCCCTCTCTGCCAGCTCTAAGCACAGCTGACCTGCATCAGCTGCTCTGTGTAGCCTCTGCCTATTTCCCACAGACCCTTCCTGCCCACTGGTAGCTCCTTTGTGGGAAACCAAATTTCATACTAAATATTTCTAAGAAACCAAATGCTAGATTAGGATATGAGGGAGATGGATACAAGCTGGAATTCATCCTGAAGCACTAATGCAAGCCTTAAATGTTTACAAGGGCAGGCACTAAGGCAGACCTTAAGCCTTTACAGGATTCTTGCATTTGCTAACCCCTCCCTTCTGAGTTTTCAATATAAAAATAAAAGTTTTATATATAAAGAGAAACATTTATTAAATATAAATAATATTTATAATATAAATATTTATTTAATATAAAATAAAGTTTTCATAAGGCTTTCAATAGAAAGCGCTAAGCTGCATTTGCATTCAATTCTCTTTGTAATTTGCTCCCTGTCAATTTTCAATGAAGGCAAAGGGAAACAGAGATAAGTGCTTCAGTTGTTCAAGAACTGTTGGCCTCCTGCTTTACCTCAGTTTACTTATATATTCTTGGTGTTCTGTCTCATTATTAATACTTATTAATATACTTTACCCTTGGTCTGCAACACTTCTTACCAGTTTCTGTAGAGCAGCCAATTCCTCCGGCAGGTAGCAAAGGCCTGTGTTGTTCAGCTTTAACCATCTCAGGCTGGTCATGGCCTTGACATTTTCAGGGAAGTAGCCACCCTGGGGTGAGGGAATGCCATTGTGGGCTTGGCTCCTACTGCTCAGGGGAACCTCTGGGGACCAAAAGGGACAACTGCGGCCCTAGACAAGTCACTTCACCTCAATTTCCTTACTCATCAAATGGGTCTAATAAAAGACTCCACATAACAAAAGTGTTCTGAGCATGGCTCAAAATTCAGCTTTCCCATTGGATCCTGAGCCCTGGAGAGTCTTAAGAGAACCTGAGAGAACACCCTGTGCAGGGCCTGATCAGCACTGCCCACATTCCTTCACCACCATTCTAAATCCTGGCTGTGCGGTCCTGTGTGTGTGCTCTGGATACTAACACCCCAGGTCCATGTCCCCACAATGTCAGGGCTCCAGCTCCCAACCCCACACAGCCTCATTCACATTTTCACTCCCAGACACAAGGCAGAGGATTCAGGGGTGTTCAGAGTGTGCATTCCCAGCCATGGCAGGGTGCAGACAACACATATCACCCTTGCTGCCAGTTGGCCCCTCCTTCCTACCACGACTGCATTCCCTGCTGTTGACTCAAGAGAGGACGTCTGCCAAAGAAAGTGGAGATGGGGACAAAAAGCAGTAGGGTGGTTAGGGGTGTCCCTGGCAGGTTCATCTAGGCAGGGCACCTCCTTGTCCTCTGATAAAGCTTGGGCCAGGGGCTTTGTCCAGGCCATTTAGGAGGCTCCGCGGTCCCCCTCTCCCATCCCAGCAGCTGCTTCCTGAGAGTCACCGGTAAGGCGGAGGGGCAAAGCGATGGGAGGACATCACCAGAACCTCGACCACGTATCCATGCATCCCGTCCCCCCACGCCAGCCACAGAGATACCATCAACCATGGACCGGACCTTCGACCACACCCACGAGGCGGTGGCAGCCCAGGGCTGTCGCCTCTGACTCCACCCCGCACCCCACCGCCAGAGTCAGGGCCTGGTTTGGGTGTGTGGCTTCAAGAGGACGGGCTGCAGGTCAGAACCAGGCCGAGGGATGCTCAGGGTGATCCCCGGACTCCCAGGCTGGGGCAGGCAGGTCGGAACCCGGCCGAGGGGTGCTCGGAGTCAGCCCCGGGCTTCCGGGGCAAGAAGGCCGGAGCGTGAGCGCCGGCCCGGCCTGCTATCTGCCGCTGGTCCGCAGAGAGCCGGGCTGCCAGCGGGGCTGGGAAGAGCGCGAAAGCCGAAGCGCTCACCTTGAAGTCGTTGCCGCTGAGGTCCACACCCCGCACAAACGGCAGCACCCCGGTGCCCTCCATGGCGGCTTCCGGCAATGGCGACAACCACTGCCAGGTCCCCGATGGCCACGCCCTTCAAGCCGCCGGAAAGCGGCCTGACGGTGTCGGTGTCGGCAGGAGGCCCCGCCTCTGACATGGTCCCGCCCTGGACACGCCCCAGCCCTGACCCCCACCTCCACACACACAAACAGACCACCGCCCATCAGCCCTCTCTGGACTCAACTATACCTTCCCCTCCCCAGCCCTACTCCAAACACGGCCCTACTGCACCCTGGCATCCCCCCTCAGCCCTGGATGACCACCAGGGCCCCTACTCAAGCACTGGTGTATGGCCCTAGCCCTGAGCCCTCTTCCAGCCCTCCGCATACAGTAGGTACTCAAAAGAGTGTCACATTTTTGTTTCTCCTAATATCCTGTACTTTCACAGCGACTCAGAGCTGACCTTCCAGCAGGGTTGGAGATTGCTCATCTTTCTCCCCGAGCAGCTGGTGGATTTGAAATATGTGTCTTTGAGTTTGCAGCCCAATTCCTTACCACCAAACCACCAGTGTTGCAGACCGAGGGTCCCAAAGAATGAAATAATTTTATAATTATTAATAATGAGACAGACTACCAGGAATGATATAGAACAGAGAGGAGTGTGAAAAACAGGGGCCAACAGTTCCCATGACTGAAGGCCCCAAGCCATGCTTCTCTGAGTATTTATTTAGAATCATAAGGAAGGTAAGCAAAGTAAAATCACAAGGAAGTACAAAGCAAAACCAAAGGATAATGGTGAAGTCTTTTACAGATAAGGCCAAGTTCCTCTTTATGCTAATCTCAAGAGGGAGGGATTCTTTTGACACAAACTAAGAACAATGTTGACTCCTAGGGAACGCCCCAGTACCACAAGGTGACCTTCGGCTTGTGTTAAGCTTCCCTCATTTCCCGATACAGCATTTGGTCTACTATTATTAAATTTGATAGTTGGCTTCCCTCACACCAGAGCTCCAGGGACAAAATTTAGACAGTAGGACAGGCTAGGAAAGAAAGTGGAGAGGAACAGGAAATACAGGCAGTGCGATGAGGGCATTGTGGGGCTGCAGTCAGGGTCACAAAACAAAACCTATGAATTACCAAATGGAAAGCCTCTTTTGCTCTGTAAACTTTCACCCAAATGGCTATAAATTGTTGAAAGCTCATTTGCTTTGTAAACCTTCACTCAATTCAGTTACTTTATTTTTACACTGAAAAAAAAAAAAAAATCCATCCTCCATGGATGCCCTATCCTAAAACAACTAAAGAATAAATCTTATCATCTTATCATAATCCATTTTTGGGTATTAGCTGTTAGGTACTTTGTCATCAGGAACACACACAAAAAATCAAAACCCTCCAGCCAGTCACTGTGGCTCAGTCACAGTGGATTTGAAACATTCGTTACTACCGAAAGCTAGATGTTGAGTGTGTTGGCCATTTGTACTACCCAGGAATTCTTAGGAATACTTAAAAGCATCATCAGGTGGGTTCCATTTATTTCTCTGAAGCTGACCCATCAAAGTTGCTTTTAAATATTTTCTATTTACAAAGAGCTCTAAACAAAGTCTTTGCACATGAGTTTTCTTGTTCAGAGTCCTGGTGGTGTCCAGTTGTTGTACTCCTAAAGGATCTTGCCAACTTGCATTCTAAAAGGACGTCAGTTAGCATGTTAAAAAAAAAAAGAGCCATTACTATCTGCAGGACACAGAACACTGAAGTTGTGGCTGGCACACATAAACACTCCCATCATCTTTTACTTCCATATTTCTCTATTTACCAAATTTCCTTTCTGGAAGGTTTTCTTATTTTTTAATGGAAAAGTGAGTAATTTTATTTTCTCACCAGTGATGCAAAAGTTGGTGATTTCAGCAATTTTGTTTGTTTTTTAAATTTATTATTATTATT